CTATTCATTTTTTTATGTGTTACATTTGGTATTGTGTTCTCTTCGCATTCACATTGCAAAGCCAATTCACCCATCGCAATATTCTCTATTACCCTATTTTCAATTTCCTATTACTCTATCATACTTACATATAGCGTTATTCTACCAATAACCGGGTATTATCTTATCGGCCTTATCAAGAAGCATTATTTTCGCCCCTATCACCATCCATTCTCAAAATCTCGGTTTCCCAATCACATATCACACCTACGATCATGGAATGTTCATTCTTCCTCTATTCTTTTCCCTTTGTTTTCCTATAAATATCATAAATTTATTTATGGTTTGCCCATATATCGTTGGCTTCGATTAAGTTTATCATTTTTATGTACGTTTCATCTTTATCGTGGTTGGTCGATATATCTTATATATAATAATGTGACGTATTTGTGTTTTATTGTTGTGATATTACATAAAATGGTAAGTTTTGACCAACGCTACATATCTGTCTTTTATTGATGGTAATTTCCTGATTTTTTTTCGATTGCAGAATAAAATGCAGATTTTTTTTTAATGTAATTTCCCTTGACTCTTTACCTGCTTATGAAATTAAAATTTTTTTTTTTTTTTTTTGGCTTTGAAGAACGAATGATTCAGTAAACATGCGTTATAAAATTGCCATGCAAATGCAGTATAGAATTATTCAAGTTATCAATGGATGCTTCTATTCCTGTTTTGTCTTTGTTTTTTCTTTTCTTTTCTTTCTTTCTCTTTTTATCTCTTTTATTTTGCTCTACGGTTGAAAGAGTAGAAAGGGCTCAATTAGCGATACGAATCATTTGATATGAACTATTAATAATCACTGGCCAGTTAAAATGTTAATATACCATAAAATAAAAATGCAAATCCAAAGCACTGCGTTTTTCTATTCAATATAACAAAAATACTTATCCTGTTAGCAAGAGCAGTTGAGCTTATTCAGTCATTAGTATAACAATGTCCATAACATTTTACAGCAACATTTTTTAAGAAGAAAAATTATTTCATTTTCACATGCAGATGAGGTTTAAATGCCAATCGGCCGGTAATTTCTATATTCAACGTCCATTCCTTAATTGCAAATCATCTATAATTATCATACTCGTAATCAGCACTGCTTCATATCACCATGCTCATTAGGCAAACAGATTACTAGTATATATACCTCATGAATGTATCCACTATCTATTGTATCCTAATAATCGTTGTTATTAATGTTGTTTCGTATTACCACGCTCATTTGGCAAACGCATTTCCGTGCCTAGCTTATCTACCTTATAAACATATCTAGAAGTTTTTGTATCACCATAATAATCGTTATTGATGCTGCCCTTATTTATTAGGTAAACAGGTCACTCCATCATACCAAACCCAATATCTTATTGATATACCGACCATATAAAAGTTATATCTATAGTACCATCATGACAAAGAGTTGCACCATGCATAGATATGTCCAACTCAGCGTTATAATTCTACACACCCCTTCCCCCCTTTCCTCTTACCCCTAGTATATCCAATACTAATCCTAGCAATGGAATTCCAATAAGATAAGTGTTGTTATAATAGGAAGCCGGAGTTGCTATTGATAAAAAAAATAATGTCACTAGCCTCTAACTCTGTACGCTCATGTTACACTGTTTTTGTGCTTTCGACACTGTACTGCTGAGTATATACGATATCCTTACTATAGTGTCCGAGCTAGATATGCTGTTATTATATCATCATCGCCAAACCTTCCACACGATGCCCTTCACCATAACTTTTTCATATTATTTACGTTCCTTCTTTATATTGTTATCACTATATAACCCTGCCGCTATAGATACCAAAATTTATCATAATAAATAGCGTCACCATCACTATAGATCACCATTATACCATACCCTCTCCCCTGTAAAAAAAAAAAAAAAAATCATGAACTTCAGTGACCCATCACAACACACCACCACGCCGCCGCCTAACCAAGTCACCATCACTTCTACCCCCGACACGACACCATAGCCGATGTGACGCCCCCGCAGTATTACCACGCCCCCCGCACCACACGCCACACTACAACAACGCTCTCACCACTGTGGTAGTCGAGAGAGAACTGCTCCCGGATGATGCTCTCTCCACCAGCCAGGCAACGACCCCGCCCCCCCCCCTCCCACTCCTCTCCCCCTCTCCCTCCCTCCCCTCTCCCTTCTCTCCCCTCCCCTCTCCCTTCTCTCTCCCTTTTTCCTTTATTTCCTTCTTTCTCCCTCTTTCCTTTATTTCCTTCTCTCTCCCTCTTTCCTTTATTTCCTCCTCTCTCCCTCTTTCCTTTATTTCCTTCTCTCTCCCTCTTTCCTTTATTTCCTTCTCTCTCCCTCTTTCCTTTATTTCCTTCTCTCTCCCTTCCCTTTCCCTTATTCTCCCTTCTCTTCTTCCCCCCTTCTCTCTCCCTCTTTCCTTTTCTTCCTTCTCTTTCCCCTGTCCTTCTCTCCTTTGGTCTCTC